TAGGGCAAAAAACAGTAAGATTATTCTCATTGCTGGTTCGTTGATTGTAAAAAAACTTTTGTTTATTTATAATTTGTACAGATACAGGTACCTAAAAAAAAAAAACATTATATAAAGGATTGAATAAATACCGCTAATTTTAGAATATTTAACAACTTTTTTTAACTTTATGTAAAAATAATAAAATAATTTATTAAATAACAATTAATTCATTTAAAAATTCATTTTTCATCGAAAAAGTTTTTTGCCTTCAGACAATATTATTTATATTTATATTGAAAAAAAATAAAAAGCAACTAAAAATTGAATTTAAAATTAAATAAATGGTATTTTTTAAAAAAAATTGGGTTTTTTATTGTTTAAATTTTTACAATTCAGAGCTGATTTTTTGGTTTACGAGTTTTTTTTTAAAAAAAAAAAACATGATTTACTTTCCTCAAAAATTGTGTTTTTTTTATAATGACTTCCTTTGAAAAAAATATGTCATAAATTTTTAGAGTTTTCATTAATTTATTTATGGGGTGGTAATATATATATATATATATGATAATTCTTTTAAAAAAAAACAATATTTTATAATAATTTCCATCATTCCTGAATAGTTTCTAAAAGTTTCATTAAAATCGGACAATTATTTCTATTTTTTTAAGATTTTTTTAAATTAATGTGTTCATAAATTCAAAAAAATTAAAAAAATTCGCTAAATAATTGTATTAAAAAATTCATTTTTTCATCGAAAAAAATTTTTTTCTCTGAATTTTTCTATATTCATAAAAACAACTAAAAGCAAATAAAAGCATTTGAAATTAAATAATATATTTGATTTATTGAGTTTTGTATTTACAATTCAAGCTGATTTTCAATTACTTCATAATCCATTTAAAACAAAAAAAAAAAATTTATCAAAGTCTTGTGCTTTAGCTTTTAACTATTATTGTAATCATTAACCTAGACTCGATCGAATTTCTAGCGTTTTCATAAAATTAGTTTGGGTGGAGGTTTAATAAATATAAAAAAATATTTCTGCCATAACTTTAATAAAAAAAAATATTTATTTTATTTATAATAATTTCCATCATCTGTGAATAGTTCCTGAAAGTTTCATTAACATCCGACAATTATTTATATTTTTGCAAGACTTTCCAAATTAATGTGTGCCATACCAAAAAAAACGTGCCAAAAATTGTCTGTCATTTTTATTTGACTAGTTCCGCTGATACAAAGAGAAACAAAGGATTTTTTTAATCAAAATTTAATTTAGAATGTTCTAAAAAGGAAGAAAATTTTTTTAAAATAATTAAAAAAAACTTTGGTCTTTCCTCTATAATATAACATTAACATTTAGACGATAAAATTTTGTTTTCGTCAAGTTTGGCGTCTTTTTCATCATGCTATGGCATGCTATTTTTTAGCGATTTCGTAGAGGTACAAAAATGAAAAACAAAATCAAAATTATGTGCCTGGAAGGATAAAAAAAAATGAAGTTTTAGTTTTGTTTTGTTTTTTAATGATATTTATTTTTTAAATTTTTTAAATGTTTTTTTTACCGACAATTAAAAAATAAATAGAAATTAAATGCTCGTTAAAAATTTGATAAAAAAAAAAAAAAAAAAAAAAAAAAAAAAAAATGAAAAGAACAGTTTATCCATCATTTTCAATCATTTTTTTTTTTTTAAAAAAGCTTTCAGTTGTTTCTATAACAAATTTAAAAAAATTATTTATTATTTTTTAATAATAGATTTTTAATAGAATCAGAAATTAAAATTAAAATTTTAAACATTTTGAACCAAGCCGCATTACGAACTTAAAAAATCTTCATTTTTTTTTTTAAAACAAAGTAAATTGTAATGTTTTGTCTAATTGAAGGTCCGAAAGACATTTAAAATGATTTTTTCTGTTCATTAAAATCGTTAAAATTAACAAATGTAATTAAAAATTATGGAATGTCACAAGCTTGAGGTAAAAACTTAACTCCGCTGAACGTCGATTTTTTAATTGCAAATTTTTTTTGCAAAACTTTCAAAAATTTTAATTATGCTTTTTTTCATTAAAAAAAGAACATCATCCTAAGACATTTTCACAATCAACATTACTACATTTTAAAAGTAACATTTTTATTTCATTTACATATTTCATTGCAATATCAATTTTTTTTGGCCCTGTTGTTTTACAGTTTTTTAGTGTGTTATTTAATTTCCATTTATTTTCAATTTTAAATTTTGATTGTCATTTGGAAAAATGTCATGTTAAAAATAAAAATGGATCAATATTTCATTTAAAAAATAGATTTTGTAGGTAAAAAAAAAAAAATTGAAAAAAATTTAATTTTTTCCAACGTGATGACAAAAAGTAGTAAAAATTTGGCCTTTGAAAATGTCAAATAAAATTTGGCTTTTCAATTTCAACAAAGAAATCCGTCTTATGGCTGATTTAAAAAAAAAATGTAAAATTAATAACGCAAAAAAAAAAAAAGTATATGAAAAAATCCTGGTTTCAGTGTTTGAAAATTTTATAATTTTTAAAAATTCAAATGATTTTTCCCAAGAAAAAATACAAATTTGATTTTTTTGATGAAATTTTGCTTGGGATTGAAATGTTTTCAATTATATGTAAACAACTGAAAAAAAGGCTATAGTGAAATAAAAAATATCTTGTTTTTGTTTTTGTTTTTTTTTTTATTTAATTATTTAAATTTCTACAGATAGTATCAACAAACTTTTAATAAACATTTTTAAAAAAAAAACAAAAAAAAAAGAAACAAATTCTTGTAAAAATTCATTTTTTTTTTTTATAGAAAAATTTTTCTTCATATATCTTATTTATTCAAGCAAAAAAAACGTTTTTTCAATTAATGTCCTTTTATTGCATCATAACCCGAAATTTTTTAGTTAGCTTCGATTGAAAGACAGCAATCATTCATCACTTGTAAATAGCCAACCATATTAAGATTGCTTTTTTTTATTTTAAAAAATTTTTTCTTCAAATAAGTAATAAAAAATTTTTTTCAAAAATATATATTTTAAAATTCATGAAATTAAGTGGTGGGTGGGGATCTATTTTACATAAAAAAATCTTTCTAAATCAATTTTCCACCAGTATAGTAAAAAAAAATAATTTTCCTTGGCTTTTATGTCCAACAAACGGCTTAAATTTGTACGGAAGGAAAGAAGTATCATACAATAAAACGTCACATCCTTTAATTTGATTTTGATGATAAAGCATTGTTTATTTTAACGACTTTATGCAGTTTTAAACGAGCAAATGGACGCGTGGAAAAGTTTACCTTTTTAGAAGAGATGAAAAAAATTTGAACTTCGAAATTTGACTTGTTTCCAACCTCAAAATTTTTTTTTTTTGTATTCGTTTAATTTTTTGTTTTTTTTTCCCCGTGATAGTTTATTTTTCATTTATTCTCCTGTTTTTTAAGAAAATTTTAATTTCAAATAAAACTGAAATGATTCTGAATTTCTGTCAAAGAAGATGATTCATAAAATGCTTTTTTTATAATGCCAAAATGGACACAAACTTTTTGTATCGCGACATTTTTCAGGGCGAACGTTCTGACCTTTTCATAGAAAAACAAAAACTGGAACATTTAGTTTTTTGTTGGTGGACTTGATAATTCTTTCTCAAGGTGGGTCAATATTTTGTAATCAATAAATCTTCCAAGTTTTAAAAGAAAAGATGAAGTCTTTGAAAATCTTGTATCATGTAGTTAATCTTAACAAAACAAAACAATTTACAGAATTCAGTGTAAAATTCAATTTGTTCGTTGCTCAAAAATAGTTAAAAAAAAGCATTAATTTCTACAGCAATCTGTTTTTTCTGATTTTCATTTTAATTTATTTTTGACGATTCAAAAAACAAAACAAAATTAAAAACATTCTTACTAAATCAATATTTGTTAAGAGAACTTTCCGCCAAGGATTTGGAAAAAGAATTAATCAACAGAATCATTTTGTTAATTAAGACGATTTGTTTTAAAACAATTAAAATATCAACTTGTTGGAAATTGAAAGCTTGTTTCAAGTACTGTCAAAGAGATAACATTTAAATGATATTCACAATTGGAACACTTTTTTAGTCAACTATAAAGAATCAAGATCAACATATTGACACACGTCTATTTTTTTTTGAATAAAGAAAAGACGTGTTTCATTGAAAGGATATGTTCATGTTTAATGTTGAGGCATCAGTCTCTTTAAATTTTACTCACCTCAAGACCAATATTGAATTAATAAATAAAAATATCAATTTGCTTAATTTGCATTCGACAATTTTTTTTCAAGAATTTCAATTAAAATTGTAAATTTGCTGTTAAATAAAAATTCTAATTTATTTTTTTTATTTTTGTTTAATATCATTTTAAAAATAAAAGTATTTTCTTGGAAATAAATTATTCACAGAGCAATAAATAATTTTAAAAGAAATCCAATAATTGTTTAAAAAATATACATGTATTCCGAACAAGCATTTATATATATAATATATATATATATATATTTTTAGAAATATATATATAAAATAACTTCTATGAATTTTTATTTGCCAAAATCAGAGAATTTTTAGATTCAATGTAATTTTCATCTTTTCATGAAAAACTTGGAAAGAAAAAATATTTTGTTATTAAACCTATAAAAAAAAGTATTAGTTTTTTAAATAAAACATTTAAATTTCAATAGATGTTGAATGTGTTCTTCGTTTAATTTAAAAATATTAAGTCAGAAAAATTTTGTAATATTGAATGAAAACTTAACAATTTGCTTTAAAAGTTAATCCAAAAAAATTTCTTTCTTTAAATTTCAAAATATTTAAAGCTTATTTTTGAAAATTTGAGTCCAAAATTTAAATAAAATCGCTTTTTTTTGGATTAGCAAAAATAAACCGTGTCAAAACGAGGATGTAAAAGTTTAAGCCAAATTTTATTAAATAAATTTGGCACGAATATATACAGATAATCGTTTGTAGTAGTTCGGTCGTGTAGTCTTGGAGGAGTGTTGTCAGGTCTCAAGGCGACAGCTTGGAGGTAGGCCGAATGGAACCAGCGATGTTCTAGGTCCAGTCGATCCCTGGATGTCTGTACTTGCAGAGAGAGAGGATCGACGCGGACAGTGCTGTGGTGTAGTCAGTTCGTCCTTGGGTGGAGTGTCGCGCAGGATCGCAGCTTGGTAGTCCTAATAAAAGGACGCGGCTAGGTTAGTCCTGAAAAGGACTATTGCATATTATGTAATCGAGGGCAGACTATTGCATATCATGTAACCGAGGATAGGCTAGTGCATATCATGTAGCCGAGGATAGGCTAGTGCATATCATGTAACCGAGGATAGGCTAGTGCATATCATGTAACCGAGGATAGGCTAGTGCATATCATGTAACCGAGGATAGGCTAGTGCATATCATGTAACCGAGGATAGGCTAGTGCATATCATGTAACCGAGGATAGGCTAGTGCATATCATGTAACCGAGGATAGGCTAGTGCATATCATGTAGCCGAGGATAGGATGGCTGGACTGCTCTGCTGGCTATCTGCTGCTGATGAGGAGGAGGCTGGACTGCTCTGCTGCTGCTGCTGCTGCTGATGAGGAGGCCGGACTGCTCTGCTGGCTCTAGATAGATGAGGAGGCCGGACTGATATGCTGCTGCTCTAGCTGCTGCTGCTGATGAGGAGGAGGCCGGACTGCTCTGCTGGCTCTAGCTGCTGCTGCTGCTGATGAGGAGGAGGCCGGACTGCTCTGCTGGCTCTAGCTGCTGCTGCTGCTGATGAGGAGGAGGCTGCTCTGCTGGCTCTAGCTGCTGCTGATGTCTGCTGGCCTTGGCTGCTGCTGCTTCGTGTGGTCAGCGTAGGTGAGAGGGGGGAGCTCGTCGCTCAACCCCGAGGCCAAAAATCAGCCGAGAAGATTCATTTGGTGGAAAAAAATCCGCTGTGTATATATAGGCTGAGGTCGGCAACGTAGCCTGTCAGCGATATATTTGGGGTGATGACTGAAAATTACCTTCTACTTTTTGGCTGTACACATGGATTCCATTCGGACACCATGTGTATATAAAGTAGTTTCTGGTAATTGTTTTTGGTTAGGAAAGTTAGTATATGTAAATGTTTCGTTTTTTCTTAGTTTGTGTGAGACGTTGACTGAAAAACGCTTAGTCACCGGAAGTTAACGGCATTCGTTATGTTTTCCGCGGTGACGCTTTTAGATGTTTGAGTAGCCGGCAGTAACTTCCGGCCGGGTGCGATAAGGCCCCCTTCCTAGAGGATTGATCGTGATCAATTCACAAAAAGAATGTAAGTCTTTAGTTTGGCAGGAAAATGAACTCTTCTGCCTGATTTTGTTCGTACGACTGGTGTTGTTGTTTCATCTTCCGTCGTTGTTGGTAAGTCTGGCTCGGGAGAAGTTTCCTCTAACCAAGCTGGTTTAAGTCGGTCGATGGAGACTGTATCTTTGTTTTTGCCGCGCATGATCGTGACAAATTTCTTAGAACGCTTCAGAACTTTGAAAGGGCCTTGGTAGCTAGGTGTGAGAGGTTTTTTTACGGCGTCGTTCCTAACAAAAACAAAATCGCAGGTATCCAAATTCTGTGGTAAGTAGGAGCTTGTGGTTTGTTTTCGTGGGGGAGTGTATGTAAGTTTGTCCATTTTGTGGCGCAGATCTTGCACGAAAGAACTTGGTGTGGATGTGCAAGAGTACTGCGGAAGGTGAAAATATTGCCCTGGTAAGGAGAGAGGCGTACCAAACACGAGCTCTGCTGTCGAACACCCTAAATCCGTCTTGAGGGTATTCCGCAAAGAGAGCATGGTCATGGGGAGGTTGTCGACCCAGTTGTGTATGTCGAGTTTGGTTGACAGGGACGTCTTTAAGGATCGGTGAAATCTCTCCACGAGGCCGTTTGCGCAAGGATGGTAAGCCGTCGTTTTAATGTGTCTGACACCCAAAAGTTGAGAGAATTCTCGGAAAAGCGAGGACTGAAATTGTGGTCCCCGATCTGTAGTGAGAACTTGTGGTACGCCAAAGTTAGTAATCCAGTTGGTGAGAATGGCTTTAGAAACTGTGGTAGCGGAAATGTCCTTAATCGGCACAGCGACTGGCCATCTCGAAAAACGGTCTATGATTGTTAGAAGGTATTGGTACCCCTGGCACATTGGTAGAGGCCCGACGAGGTCAACGTGGATGTGGCTGAAACGTGCGTCGGGTGTGGCGAATGTTCCAACTGGTGATTTTGTGTGCCTCTGAATTTTGCATTTCTGACATTGTATGCAGGTTGAGACCCAATTCCTAATGTCTGAATTCATGTTGGGCCACACAAATCGATCGGCGATAAGCTTGACGGTTGCTCGCTTGCTCGGATGGGATAGATTGTGGAGATGGAGAAATACTTTTTTTCTAAGAGATGGAGGAATGTACGGTCTCGGAGTATCCAGTGCGGTGTCACAGAAAAGAGTTTTATCGCTGAACGGACACGGGAATTCCTGCAGTTTCAAAGAAGTCTCCTTAATGATGTCAGGTATCGTCGTATCGTCTTTTTGTTTGTCGGCTATCAGCTCCTGGCTCCAAACATCGTTATCCATGGTATTGACGTCTGTTCTGGACAATGTGTCTGCGACGGTGTTGTTCTTTCCTTGGACGTGTCTGATGTCCGTCGTAAACTGTGAGATGTAGTCGAGGTGACGTGTTTCACGGGATGTATACTTGTCTGCGCTGACATTCATCGCGTTGATCAGTGGTTTGTGATCCGTGAAGATAGTGAAATGTCTGCCTTCCAGAAGATGTCGAAAATGACGTATGGACAGGTAGATCGCCAGGAGTTCTCGTGAGAAGGTACTGTATCTTCTCTGGGCTGCAGAGAGTTTAGCTGAGAAGAAGGCTATCGGCTGTCTCGTCATGTTCACTTGCTGCTCCACTACTGCTCCTATTCCAACGTCGGAAGCGTCTGTTGTAAGGAAAATTCTTGTTTCCGGGTCGTTTTCGATGAATGAGAGTTTTGTGAAGTTTATCAGCGCTGTCTTTGCCGTTTCGAAAGCCCGCAAGGTATCTCCCTCTAGGGTAATTTGTTTGTTCTTCCGCTCTATGATGTTTGTTAACGGGGAGAGAATTGTCGAGCAGTTGGGGATGAACCTGCGGTAAAATTTATCATACCGATAAATCGTCTGATTTGCTTTGTGGATGTCGGCGTAGGGAAGTTTTGTATCGCGTCGACTTTCTCGGGTAATGGTGTGATACCGTCCTTGTCGATATGATGGCCTAAAGAAGTTCACCTCAGATGCCCCGAAAGTGCATTTGTCCATGTTCAGCCGGAGTCCATAAAGTGCTATTCTTTGGAACACTTCGTTTAGATGTTTTTTGTGTGTGTTCTCATCTATGCTGGCTACCAGTATGTCGTCGATGTAGGCATACGCGTACGTTAAGCCGCGCAGTACCTCATCTATGAAGCGTTGGAACGTTTGTGCAGCATTCCTCAGGCCAAAGGGCATCTTGAGGTATTCAAAGAGACCAAAGGGAGTGGTTACGGCTGTCTTTGGAATGTCCTCCGGAGCTATGGGGATCTGGTGGTAGGCCTTAGTTAGGTCTATCTTCGAAAAGACGCGAGTGCCCTGCAACCCTGAGGCGAAATCGTGAATATGCGGGACCGGATAGCGATCGGGTATGGTTGTAGCGTTTAATCTTCTATAATCGACGCATACCCTAAAGTCTGTGCTTCCCGGCTTAGGTACGAGATGTAGGGGTGAGGCGTATGGGCTATCGGAGGGTCGTATAAATCCGTCCTGCAGCATGTTGTTAAACTCCTTTTTGGGCGTATTCCAGCTTATGAGGAGGAAGTCGTCGTGGGTGGGAAAAAATGGGCTGTCCACTGGTCTTTATATGGTGCTGTGTTTGGTGTCTTGCCGGACCGGTACCTGCGAGTGGTTGAATGAGGTCCGAGTATCTGTTTAGGATCTCGATGTACTCTCGTCCGTGGCAAGTTGTCACACTGATTCCAGTGGTGTTGTGTCGAGAGAGGGTGCCTTTAACAGCAATGTTCGTGGTATTGTCTGATAAAGTTCTCGTATTCATGTGCACGGCTAGATCATAATGGGCCAGGAAATCTGCACCGAGTATTGGCGTTTTTACGTCTGCCTGGGTGAAAGTCCATGTAAAATCGCGCCGCATACCGATGTTCAGAGTCAGTGTCTTGGCTCCATATGTCTCGATCGTCGAGCCGTTTGCTGCCTGGAGTTTATACGGGGTCGCCTTTCGGTCTTGCTGTTCTTTGGGGGTATAACGCTGATAGCTGCTCCCGTGTCCACTAGAAACTTTATGTTGTTCCGTCGGTCCCATACGTAGAAAAGGCGGCTTCGTATGTTTTTGCCGGGAGGTTCTGCCGCTCCTACCCGCCGGCTGTTTAGTTTTCCGACTTGGTTTTGGAGCTGTATTTGCAGGGTGCCGAGCAATTCTTTGCCCTGGTGCCGAATCTGTGATGGTACCAGCATAATTCCGGGTCGACTCGTCGACCCCTGCTGGTACTCCGTGCTCTCCGTCGCCAACCGCCGGTCGCCGGCATCGGGCCTCTCGATGTGCGGGAAAGGAGCATTCGTATATCCTGCAGCTGATGCTGCAGGTCAGCTACTGCCTTTTCCAGGTCTGTTTCTTTGGCTGATGTGTCGTCTGGGCGTTGCACGGCACACACTCCTTGGTCCAGTTTAGTTGCGATGCGGTCAGCGGAGTTTGCTAACTGGTCCAGTGGAGTGTTATCAGCGATTGGTGCCAATATCTGCGTTATGGTAGTGGGTAACTTGTCCATCCACAGTTCGCGCAAGATTGATTCGGCCATGGAATGTTTCCCCAGTCGGCTCCTCATGAAGCGTAGAAGCTGTGAGGGTGTTCTGTCGCCCCTGGTGACGTGGGTAAAAAGTTCCCGGAGCAGTTCCTCGTCCGAACGGCCGGTTCGTTTCAGAATAGCCTCCTTGAGGCGAGTATATGGCTCCTGCTCGGGTACGTGTTCCAAGATGTCGGCTACTTCGTCGACAACTGAAGGTGGCAAAACTTGTACCACGTTGACGAATTTTGCTTGTTGTGATGTGATTTTCCGTACCGAGAAAATGGCTTCCAGCTGTAAAAACCAGTTCTTGGTGTTCTGCTCGTTGTACGGAGGGAGGTTTGTGAGTGGCATTGCCACATTTATGAGAGTGTTCTGTTCCCACTCGTCAGTTGCCATCTTGCTCGATCGTAAATATCGGGGTCACCACTTGTTGCGGCGCTAAGCAGGTTGACTGTTAACCCCGCAAACGGAAAAATAATATAAGATAATACGATCGAAGCAAGGACAACAAAAACGAGGATGTAAAAGTTTAAGCCAAATTTTATTAAATAAATTTGGCACGAATATATACAGATAATCGTTTGTAGTAGTTCGGTCGTGTAGTCTTGGAGGAGTGTTGTCAGGTCTCAAGGCGACAGCTTGGAGGTAGGCCGAATGGAACCAGCGATGTTCTAGGTCCAGTCGATCCCTGGATGTCTGTACTTGCAGAGAGAGAGGATCGACGCGGACAGTGCTGTGGTGTAGTCAGTTCGTCCTTGGGTGGAGTGTCGCGCAGGATCGCAGCTTGGTAGTCCTAATAAAAGGACGCGGCTAGGTTAGTCCTGAAAAGGACTATTGCATATTATGTAATCGAGGGCAGACTATTGCATATCATGTAACCGAGGATAGGCTAGTGCATATCATGTAACCGAGGATAGGCTAGTGCATATCATGTAACCGAGGATAGGCTAGTGCATATCATGTAACCGAGGATAGGCTAGTGCATATCATGTAACCGAGGATAGGCTAGTGCATATCATGTAGCCGAGGATAGGCTAGTGCATATCATGTAGCCGATCATGATAGGATAGGCTAGTGCATATCATGTAGCCGAGGATAGGCTGCATATCATGTAGCCGAGGATAGGCTAGACTGCTCTGATATCTGCTGGAGGATAGGCTAGTGCATATCATGTAACCGAGGCTCTGCTGGCTAGGCTGCTGCTGCTGATGCTCTGCTGGCTGCTGCTGATGATGAGGAGGAGGCTGGACTGCTCTGCTGGCTCTAGCTGCTGCTGCTGCTGATGAGGAGGAGGCCGGACTGCTCTGCTGGCTCTAGCTGCTGCTGCTGCTGATGATGAGGAGGCCGGACTGCTCTGCTGGCTCTAGCTGCTGCTGATGTCTGCTGGCCTTGGCTGCTGCTGCTTCGTGTGGTCAGCGTAGGTGAGAGGGGGGAGCTCGTCGCTCAACCCCGAGGCCAAAAATCAGCCGAGAAGATTAATTTGGTGGAAAAAATCCGCTGTGTATATATAGGCTGAGGTCGGCAACGTAGCCTGTCAGCGATATATTTGGGGTGATGACTGAAAATTACCTTCTACTTTTTGGCTGTACACATGGATTCCATTCGGACACCATGTGTATATAAAGTAGTTTCTGGTAATTGTTTTTGGTTAGGAAAGTTAGTATATGTAAATGTTTCGTTTTTTCTTAGTTTGTGTGAGACGTTGACTGAAAAACGCTTAGTCACCGGAAGTTAACGTGTCCCCTTTTCTACACAAAGAACACTATCTCAACCCTTAACCCTAAATTTAACCCATAAACATAACACATTGTAAAGAGCAAGATTATGTACAAAATAAAATTACAAAATAAAAAAATACTAGAAACAAAATAAGGGTTTATTGTATTATTTAATTTTTTTTTTCAACTTGTCCGCTTTTAATTTAAAAAACCGCTTTAGTGCATTATTCAATTTGTTCTTTTAATTTGTCATTGCTGTTCTACACGGAAAAAGGTTCTATTATTTAATTTGTTTTTGTTATAAATAAAAATACACTTACCAAAAAATAAATAAATAAAAATACATTTCTTTATGGTAGTGATTTTCTGCACCTAAAAGTCTGTAAAAGAAATAGGCCAAAATTTATGCTTACGCCACCGGAAGTACCCCGCAGTAAATTAGTGAACATTATGGCAGTAATGACGGGCGAATGACCAACAGGAATCCAATTTTTTTCTTGTCAATAACTCCAAACCGATAGGTTTCTTCATAATTTAATTGTTAATTAGAGTTCAGCATTTACATTTACTACACGGAAATATGATGATTTGGGAAAATTTTAAGAGATATTTAGCACGCGGGCGTTTGATCATTAAAAAAGCAAATTTACTTGAAATATTAACAACAATTATCTCTGTAAAACTTTCTCCTCTTAAGCTAAACACTTAATGTTTTATTTTAATGATAATCTTCGTATTCAACAAACTGAAACAGGATTGTCAATGACAGAAAAAAAAAGAAAGGAAAACAAATATTTAAAAAGAATTAATGAAACTTTCAGAACTTAAATTATTATTGTTTAAAAAATGTTTTAATTTTATTTTAATGAACACTGTTTTTTAAATGACAAGAAAATGTGTTACATTAATGTTTTAAAAATGCTTTAAAAAGCTTATTTATATAAGAAAGTTAATTTTTCTTTTAATTCACATGACCTTCATGCTTTTATCTTTTAAATTAAACCTAAATTTAAATTCGGAGAATGCATTTAAATTATTTAAAATGCATTTTTTGTGGGGCTTTCGTTAAAGAAGAATGTGTTAAAGGTGTTAAAGAATTTGTTCCTTGCTCAAAAATAGTCTGACAACATCACAAAGCATTTTTATCACAATCTGCTTTTACTGCAAATTAAACGAAAAAAGATTGTAGAATAGCAGCTGTAATATATTGTTTCATTTTAGCATGTAAGAAAAATGTCAAAGAAATCAAATGAATTCTTTTGTACCAAAACAAATAAAAAAAATGCCAGATTTAAAAAAAATTGATGTCAAAAAAGCCAATCTGACAACACTGATGATGATCTCGCCTAAAGGCAATCATTTTTATTGTATACAGTCATTACCTCTTACTAGCACTCACCTTAAACATTACCTCAACTAACACTCACCTTAAACATTACCTCTAACACTCACCTTAAACGCTTTTGTTTTGATTGTTTTTGTATGTAAATTATTAAAAAAATTTTGTTTGGTCAGTTTATATAAAATAAAAATTCCTTTCATAATCAATTGTAAATGTTTACAATGTATCTTGTTTGTATTTAATTTATTTATCCCCGTAAATGTTCTGTCATTTATATACATTTAACCATGGTCACTCACTCTACAAATATAATTTAATAATCAAAAGATCCTTTTGTCCTTCCTCTTAACAATAACAAAAATCTTAACAATAAAAATTTGTTTCTATTAATATCGGACCATTTTTTTCATCACAGTCTACTAATTCTTTTCAGCAAATTAGTGGATGTACCTATGCTAAATGTTTCATAGTGATTGAGTGGATTAATTTTCTCATCATTTAAAATCCCAGTTGATGTAATTGATTATCTTTAAACTAAAAGATCTTACTAGCAGTTTGTAGATTATTAGGAGCTGTTGCAGCGGGCCGAGAGGTGTGAGTGCCAATCGACCGTACAACTAAAAGGGGGACACAAGGGCAAGGAGATGGCAATAGCAAAGAAGGATGACAAACGCAGACGGTCCGTTGTAGACGATGGAAATCGTGTCTTTATTTGCAAACGGTGGATGGTAAAAAAGACAGAGGTCCTTTGAACGGTGTCCGGACGATAACGGGCGCTAGACGTCAGTGGGCACTGGATAAGGTCGTCAGCGGGTGCTGGAATAGGTCGCGGGACGTCAGTAAAGCGCCGCAGGGGTGAGCTGTAAACTGCAGGAGTGAGCTGGAAGCTGCAGGAGTGCTGGATGCTGCAGGAGTGCTGGCGTCACAGAGGGAAGGCAGTAGCGAAGAGTGAAGTGAGTGGAGTCTCGAAGAGTGGTGATCGAATGACTTTGGGAAGTTAGCCCTGAAGAAACTGAACAACTGCTGCTGGGCTTGATCGACTTGACTGGGCGCGTCAAAGTCGCGAATCAGGGAGGCTTCCTGCTCCCCCGGGCCGGCGGTATTTACTTGACTCCCACGAGGTCAAGATGTGACACAAGGTCATTTTTCGTGGGATTACTTGACTCCCACGCGGTCAAGTCGTGACACAAGGTCGTTTTTTTCGTGGGAAAAACCCAAGCGTTTCCGCATAGGGTCACTGGTCAAAGATTGGTCATAACATGTCCAAGCTGGTCAAGGCTTAGTCAATGTTTTGGTCATAACATGTCCAAGCTGGTCAAAGCTTAGTCAAGTTCTGGTCCAAGTTGGTCTTGGCTTGTCTTAGCAGTCCAAACTAGACTTTGCCATGGGTCGCAACCCAGCCCGAAAGCCGGGCTGCTCCCCCGGACCGGCTAAAAACCGCTGCGAAGTCTCGGGGATA